GGCCCTCCTCCACCCCTCGCCGTGTCTGCCGGGCCTAGATAAAACACAGTGGTGCGACTACAGTCTGTTTAGCCTCCTGTCACTGCACTGGAAGCTGATTGGAGGATTGCGCCCCCACATGGTCAGATGTTTCTCTCGGCATCTCAGCATAAATGTACGGCAACACGCAGCTAGATGGTGCCGTTCACGATTCGCCGTTTAAGCCTAATGTGTAAGATGTAGAAGAAAATTTTCTTTAGTTATTAAAGAGGTAATTATTGATTTCCACCTCACCAGCTGGTGGCGCTGCTTAGCAGAAGTCTTGGCAAAAATCTTTAAGGAAACGACTGTAAATGAGTGACAATCACAGGACCAGGTGTATGAAACTGTAAATGACAATCACAGGACCAGGTGTATGAAAGAGTTTCTGATAAAAAAATGTTAAAAAACCCTGATTTTCTAAAGTCCTTCGTCCTCCAGTTCTAACATGTGTGGGGAAAGTTTGTTTACTAATTTATTTTTTTGAATATTTAAACCTGGCTCCCTGGAACCTGATGTTGCTGTGTTTCTGTCTGTTTGATTCAGGCATTTTTTCCTCCAATTAAATTCTCTTCAGCATGAGTTAAAACAATACTTTAAAAGCTGTGCCACAGCACAGCGCTGGGATTTCACTCGCAGCTGTCAGCAATAATTGGCTGTAGTCAAATGTCACAGCGACACATTGGGACATTGATTTAATCAGCCCACTGGAGATAAACGGTGCGCTCTGATTTACTATAAAATCATATCATATTGCATTCCTGATAGTGATCAGAACACAGAAGTTCTGTGGTAGTTTTTTAACAGGCGGCGGCCCAGAATGCTTTGTGACTCAGAAACAGAGAAGTACTCTAAAACAAAAACAAAAAAAATTAAAACGGATCTTGGGGTGGTACGTACACATGGTGTGAAGTGACGGAGAAGACAGATGGAGATGGAGTCGAGGACTTGGCAAGTGTGAGGAGAATCTTAAGGATTCAAATTTCTTCTGTTTGGCAGGAAAATGTAAAAAAAAAAACTTTAATCTTCAACATATTATTCAAATTTAACTCAACTTCTTCTAGAAGACACCGTGAAACGTACGCTAATGACAGAAAATATGCCAACTCAACATTATTTGTTCTGGAGGAATATTGCCCCCTCCAGCAGATGGCACCCTATATCACTTTATGTAGCATACACTGTTGCCAGGGACCTCTAGAGAACATGTCAGTTATTAAATAAGTTAAAGCAGCAGCGGGTTTAAAAATATATATATATTTGCTTGAAATAAAAGCTGAAGAGTGTGCACTTGTTCACAGTTCAGGCCTGAATAAGAAACTAAATGGACGTTAAAAAGATGAAACAGAGAAGTCTGTGAAAGACCAACCTTCAGACGGCACTCGATGATGAAGATGTATGTTACAGGTGAACCTGAGAAAAATGGATGGAATTATCTCTGTCCTCGAACTGGAGACAAAAACATCTCTTTGCTAAATAATTAGGCACATACATTTATTTAATGTAGCCCCCTCCCCCCCCCTCCCGCGCGCACAACACCATGTCGTGAAAAACGACATGTTTGCCTTCGTCAGTGCTGCACATTTAACAGGACGAGACAGAACACCTCCCTGTGTTTTAATGCAATTACACTGAGCGATGACTGTGAACAGGCGTCCCATCATTCCTCTGTATGTATCTGTGTCTCTGTTATCTACACAGATGAATCACCGCCGAACGGAGCGAGGCCCAACACCGAACTGCCCCTGTATCTGCTGATGTCATTGTCACATACATACAGTATATACTATATATACTATACTATATAACATTTTATCTAAAGATGAAAATATATATACATACATATATTTACTCCTTAACAGTTTTTCTAAAGAGAAAAATATAGATACATACATACATATATATACATATGTATATTTTTGTTAAAGGAGTAAATATATATATACACTGTATATATATACACATATATAGATATATATTTACTCCTTTAACACTTTTTTAAAGTGAAAAATACACATACTGTACATATACATGTATACATATGTATAGAGTATATATATATATACTTTCTTTCTTAAGAAAACTGTTAGAGGAGTAAATATACTGTGTGTGTGTGTGTGTGTGTACATATATATAAATATTTAATAAATATACGCCTCTTGAATATATTCACCCTGCCAGTGCTCATTTCCACGGTAAAGGTCAGCCATCAGGAGAGGATTTAAGTCCCACTGTGGTGCAGCGGTTGGAATGACAGAGAGGTGGAATTAAAACTAAGGGATTAATTCATACGCTCCCTAATCCCCCGTTCTCCTCCTCTGTCCGTCTTTGTATACCTCACTAACTCCTCTCCTACTCCTCCCTCGTGTCCCTCGAGGGTAAGTGAGAACGCCTCCCAAAGGGAGCTGTTACTTTATCATATTCCATATGACACCATAGGAAAGTTCTGGAAGGGTGTGAAAAAGTAATTAAGACACCGAGGTGCAGCTCACGGTTCACGCTCGTGCATGAGTGCATACTTTTGACTCACTTTAACAAAGTCCACTGTGTATTCTATATATATATGTATAAGAATGACTTTAATACCCATGAGAGAACGGTATGGAATCCTGTTCTTATACACAGACGACTCCACGCTCTGTGTTCGTGATCATCAGCTGGTACGGAAGAGTCTTTCTTATTTTGTGTATGAGGACATTTGATTTGACTCAATAAGGAAACACTTTTTTTTTTTTTATCATTTCTTAACAAAACTCCTCACGATCATTTCCTTTATAGAGATTTTCTCATCTGCAGGAATTTGTTGAAAAGAGAAAGAAAAAAAGTCTGGATGTGTTCTACGCTGCTGAACTATTCCAACAAAATTCTTCAATGGCACAGATGCATGTAGTGTTGAATGGGTTTGGAATGGAACGGTCCGAGACTCCCTGAAGGCTCAACGTCCGTTACTACCACCTCCCAAAATCCCAGGTTGAGGTGTAAACTTTAGCTTTACTCTTATACATCGGAACAACACAGACACAGACTTAACAGGTACAGTAGATTAACTGTTCATTCAAGCTCCAGGCCTCAGTGTTCCTGTGGACCTGCTTTACAAAAACAGCTAATGGGGGTTGAGTATAATTTGGAGGCACACCAGGGGCAGGAGTTTCACTCAGGGTATGATTATTCAACAAACGCCACGTGGCATCGATGTATTTGATTAAGTCGGAGGCAATCAGGCACAGAAACTGCAGTTGCTAATTTCAAAGATAAACTCCTCTCTCAGGTCGTTCACCAACTCATATGTACGAAGCCTTTTGTAATTATCGCCGGTCTCTTTGGGCTCTGCGTCCGTGTTACGGCAAATCCAGGCAACAGCTGATTGGCGTTGATGTAAATGAGAAGCAGGATAAGGTTGAGTGGGGAACTTAATGAAATAAATTGGACCTCAACGCAGGAGGGACGCTGGTTATTTTAATCCAATCAGCTGAAGGGATTTTCAATAACCCTCGAGTCTGATACATCCTCCGCAAGAAAAAAAGAAACGTCTTCATGTTCATAAGGTGGCCACATGGGGGACAAAAGGCCAGAAGATTTTATACTTTAGTCTCTGGAGATACACATAGGACTTCAAATACAGGACCTGCACGCTAAGCATTATGGGATCATCCACAGCATGAAAACAACAGCAGTAAGGGGGGGGCGGGGGGGTACAGCCAACCACAGCAAATTCAATTCTGACCAATCACACATTAAATGTTAAACAACATCTGACAAAAAAAAGTTCTGTCCACACGACGTTTGAGAAACAAGGAGTGAGAACTCCCAAACCTCAGGTCTGGAAAAGAAGGACATCTTTCTCTTCCACCTCTGGGAATGAGGAAAAACTTCAGAACATTCTGGAAAATGTATCAGGATTTACTCTGACAACTACTAGTTGCTCCAAGAATTTTTCAGCAGAAACATCAGTGTGAAAACGTAGGAAAGTATCTGCGTCAGGAGCAGGAGACATAGTTGACGTGAAGGTTTGGATGTTCAAGGGAATCAAACTACTGACACCAAGTTGTACATAATACTGACCTGGATTACACTACAGTACTAACCTGACACACGGTGGTGAGGTTAACTGAGTCTTTTGACACTGACATACGGTGGTGAGATTCACTGAGTCTTTTGACAAAACATTCAAGGACTCAACACTTTAGGTCTAATTCAGATGAGGTTTTTATCGTTTTATTTTGTCAAATTAATTCAATTTAAATGCTAATAAAGACCAGGAGTAAGTTATTTATATTCAGGCAGGGTGAGGTCACCTCTCTCTGACTGACTTGTCATTCAACGCTGGGCAAACTTGAACTAAATTGAAATAAATAAATGAGTGATTTAGTTCTTATTTGTTTTTTGTTTACCTGAACGGCTGTTATGCAAATTGTTTGGAATTGGTTCACGGAGATAAGGAGCGGCGGGTGGCACCGTTTAATTCACTGGGAGAGACTTTAGACCCGCGGCACATTAGACAGGAAGTGCAAACCCTGGAACATGAGGGAAAATGTGTTGCGTTTCTTCTATTTTCTCACATTAACTACAACTGTTTGTTCATTTTAAAATCCTTTTGTTTTCATCAAACTCATTTACATTTACTTTTAATAACGCACATTCTTCCCGTGCTAAACTTATTTCGAGCCCCATATCATTCTTAATTGTCTTCTGTTCAAACACTTTTCATACATAAATAAGAACAAAATTGGACAAAAAAGGTAATAAAAAACGGAAAAGGAAAGGGAGTGATCGGAGGCAGAAATGGTTTCTAAACAGCAGTACAACAACTCTCACAGTGAAGTGAGCTCTGACCAACATATAGATTCTCTAACGGTGGTTTCTACGGCCGATCCACACTCTACTCTGTCTGTGGGTTCTTGCTCTTGATTGGCTGTCTGTTGTACTCTCTGAGATACGGACAGGATTCAGTGACAAATTGAGACGCCGGCTCTTTGACTTACCCCGGGTTTTATTGAAGATGAAGCTCCTGATGAATAGCTGCGGTCTGCAGGACGTCTTAATCACAGACCGCCTGAGTGGTTCACTGGCAAACTGTGGACAAATCTGTCTGGGGTCAAGTCCCTCAGTGCTTCCCTCCATCTGTTCTGTCTCTGTTTTCGTTTACTCGTCTACATGTCCGTCCGTCTTCTTTTTTTACCCAGTGGAGAGGGTTCACGACCCGGTCTCTGAGGTAGCTCGGCTACTTCTGTCTCTGCCTCGACCTCATTCCAGTCTCACTGCACACACTGGGATGGGAATAGATCTCTGCAAACAGAGAAAAAAATAGACGTCATTTCAATCTAATTTACATATTATAATTTTGTGAATGATACAATTTTAAAAAGCTAAGCTGTTAGTTGTGAATAGTGTTCCTTCATCTCCAACTTCACAAATCCTAATTGTAGTTCCTATTTTCTCCATGGCTGCACTGTAGATCGGGACATTTTATTTATATCAGTTGTGAGTTTTTGATTTAGTAAAATTTAGCTAAATTAATATGTCAAATATGTGACTACTTATTTTGTCAACATAGATTTGCAATTGTTGGATTTAAAGCAGACAAATGTGCTAAGCACTTGTTTTGTCAATGTAGATTTGCAATTGTTGGATTTAAAGCAGATGCATAATTACATATATTTGTTAAAGTTTTATATCAGTGTTAATACCAGGCAGAATACAAATAATGACATGTAGAAAATGTAGAAACAACATTATTAACATTGAAAATGGTTTTGAGAAGTTGTCGGTTGGATCACTCTCATTAAATATCATTTAGTCATAAAACAAATGCGGAAGGTTGGCGGTTCAATTCCAGCTGCTGGCTGATACTCTTGATGACTTTACTGCAGGGCTACAGTATAACGATATATTTTATTATTATTTGCCTTCAACTTTTCCTTTACCATAGTTTCAAACTTTCCAAAAAAACAAACAAAAAGCTGTTTTCCCAAGAGGACAAAGTTACTTTTTTCCTCTTTTTTGTCTCCCCTCCAGGGACTGTCAGACACTTCATTTTGCTTCGTTGGAAACGCTCCATTTGTTTCCGCCTGACATCATTAGTGTTGTTTGTCACATTCAAAGCTTTAATTAAAGCCTAGTTATCAGGGACAATAATTAAACAAAGACAGTCTCATTTTAAGAAAGGAAAAAAAAAAGAAAACAGGAGAAGAAGCATCCGGCTGTCTCTTCCTCTGGCATCATGTTAAACAACAGCCAGTGTAATAAAAGCAGCAAGGAGGCGGCTTTGATAGAGCATAAGAAGGTGTCAGAATATGTTTGGGCCAAGAAACAAGTTTGGCAACGTTTACATAAAACAGGCAAAAGCGAGATAAGGACAGAGGAGACGCAGAGAGAATGACAACTAGTTTGGACAACATCCACAAAGTCTCAGAACACTGACCCAGACTGGAGGCTTCCTGTCAGCCTGTGGTGCAGCGCCTCTTTATTTTTTTATTATTAAATTAAAATAAATATATCATGATGCTTGCTTTGTTTGTTAAAGTTAAAAGATTTAAAATCTCATTAGGATTGAAACCAGGCCAAGATGAAACTGAAACAACAGTCACTGCTCTGCAGCTTAGTCTTCTAACTAGAACGATCGCAGACGAGGCCAACAGGTCTCCACCTGCTGGAGGAATAGAGAAGGTATCGGATTGATATGGGTACAGGCAGTATTGGTATCGTTATCGAACATGAAAGAGTTGCATCGATCCGTCGCCTTTTCCATGTGATAGCCAACAAATCACCACCACTACTGTTAGCTGTTTACGTTTACATTTATGAATTTAGCAGACGCTTTTATCCAGAGCAACTAACAAGAGGAGGATTAACAATCAAGCACGTGGTTCCTCTGGGAATCAAACCCAGGACTCTCTGCTTCTGAGGCAGCCATGCTACCAGCCACACTATGGAACGAAAGAACTTAAAGAATTAAAACTTCTTTTCCAAACCTTTTTTGGCCACATTATCATGTATTTACTTCAAACACTTATCCATGAACCTTTCTAGAGGCTGGTAGAATACCTTAAAGGCTGATGAAGATTTCCATGTCCTTGTTATTTCAATGGAAAGCACAGCTTCAAATGAAACATTTAGTGTTTGTTTTCGACTGCGCCGCCTGAGGTAAAATAACCTCCGATTTATTGTAACGCGGTCTAAAGAACATTGAAGTTGAAATATTTGTGGGCGAAAAAAAAGATGCCGTTTGTAAGAAGAGAACATTATTCTGTGGTTTAGTGTGTCTCTGTTTATCATGTCATGGAGAGACAACTTTACCTCGGGAGAGAATTTAAAGTTTGGAAGCAAATTAGGAGTCGGAGCTGTTCTGAGAAGATACATAATATTTAACGCTGGATTAGAACCTAATCCATGTATAATCCACTGAGAAAGGTAAATAACTACACCTCAGAAACTGCTCCTTTTAAAACATGCAGAATTAAAGCAGCTCTCCTCAAGTCTCCACCGTCTCCCTCGGTTTTTACCACCATGTGACTGGAGCTGTGAGTCGTCCGTTGTTTTATCACGAACGTCATAGGTTAAAAACCATTTAAGTGCAGCTCCACCATGTGGGAGAACAAACGTGAAGGAAACGATGCTTTTAAACCAAATGACAATTCCCATCTTTACTGTTGCATCATGAACTCCTCTTTGCAGGGAAGTAAGGTCATTATTTTAACCATTATAGTTAATTACAGAATATAAAAAACCCTCTAAATAAACAGTCAAAATGATTTTCTGTGGGGCTTTTTTAGACTTAATTAAATCAGTGATTGTAAAGTCAGTGAATGGGTTTGTCTCTGTGGCTTAGATTAGGTACAGTAAAAATACAGTTTTTAGAAGACCGTCATGGTCAGATCCTCCCTAATCTGAGTGTCTTTATCCGTCCTGATGATTTCCCGTTTCTCTCTCTGTCTCGTTGTCTACCTGTAGGCCGTCCTTCACATCTGGGTTGTCAAGACAAACGTCATGAGAAACTGCTGGATAGACTGTCTCCAGAATCCATTGATGTGGAACACCTAAGATGGGGACACGACTGGCCACTATGTTGCAAGCTCAGCATTAATCACCTCGACGACGACTACCGCTCAGACTTAACTCCCCAACATTTGTCCACACTAGCGACTGACGTGCCGCTCTTTTTGCAGATTTTTTTATTGCTGGTTTTTGTTTATCTTCCTTCAACCTCCTTCTTTTCTTCCTTTGGTCTGCAACGCTGTCAAATATTGGCCGCTCAACCATGGCCAAAAGATTCTGTTCTACCTTTCTGCTCCCCTCCTTTGTTCCCTTTCTGATGCTCCCTGCAATGATGTTCCTCCACCTGCCTGCCGCGGTGAAAGGAGACTGCTGGCTGATAGAAGGGGATAAAGGCTACGTCTGGCTGGCTATCTGCAGTCAAAACCAGCCACCGTACGAAACCATCCCCCAGCACATTAACAGCACGGTCAGTACGAGTCCCTCTACTCACAGGGCCTTTGTATCACCATAACAGCCTCTTCAAATCCCGTCGTGCACCCTAGAGCGTACAGTACGGCATTATTCACGTTCCACTCTGCACACTGCAAAGGAGCAAGTACGGACTTTACGATTTAAATTTTTATGCAAACTCAAATTCCAGACGCCTTACAATTAGTAAGATGGAACCTAAAATATGATTTAAATTTTTATGCAAACTCAAATCCCAGACGCTTTACAATTAGTAAGATGGAACCTAAAATTATAATTTATTCAACAAACTTCACCTAAATCTACATTTGTAGCTTTAACGTCATTATTATGGAAATAATTAAAAAAAGATTTGATTAAATTGATCTAAAAATAAAAATAAGGAAACTTATCTTTGTGTTAACATCAGCATCAGACCCCAACTACATGGTTCCTCTAGGGCTCGAAAGTTGTGTAAGTCAGATGTGTAAGCAGGTGTGTTAATCACTACACTAAGGAACCACCAAAATAAAAAATAAAAAAGGCTCAGGTTGTTTTCGCTGATCGTATCCATCAAGATCATTTTTTTACCAAAGCAGCTTTGACTGAAAGCGTAAGAGGTAAAGAAACTATTCTAGGTTTTGTTGTGACCTTTGAGACCTGCATTTATCTCCAGAACTACACACTTCCCCTGGTTCTTTTCAGGAACTCTGTCCACTGGTTTCCTAGTTTTCTAAAGCTCAAATCTTTATGCGACATGATGTAATTCAGTTTGTGTTTCATTTAGCTGAACCATTTGCAAAATGCAGTATTTATAATACATTTGGACCAAATATATTTATATTCCAGCTGCCTGAGGATACGATGTTTTGCTTCTCTTTTGTCTTCAGGTTCATGACCTAAGGTTAAATGAGAACAAACTCAAGGCTGTGCTCTTCACTTCAATGTATCGCTTCACCAACCTCACTGACCTCAATTTAACCAAGAATGAAATCAGTTACATTGAGGACGGGGCGTTTGCTGGACAGGCCAACCTGCAGGTTTGAAAACAATATTTTTATGTAATCAATAGTAATGCACAGATATGTAAAGTAGTATTGATTTTTTTTTGGTTTTGCTCAGTTCACTTTATAATTTACAAGAATAAATAACAACAAGAAGAAAAAAAACACCACCATTAACAAGTGTTGTTATGAAATGTTGTGTCACAACCCTTAGGTTCTTCAGCTCGGCTACAACAAGCTCACCAACCTAACTGAGGGCATGCTGCGAGGGTTAGGTCGGATGCAGTGCCTCTTCTTGCAACACAACCTCATAGAGGTCATTGCCAGCAATGCCTTTTGGGAATGTCCCAGCCTCAGCAGCCTGGATCTATCTTCTAATAAGCTGGCCCGACTGGACCCCTCGACTTTCACTGTACTCAACAGACTGATGGTTTGCGAACTAGCAGGAAATCCATTCCACTGTGGCTGCGAACTCTACACCTTTCTATCTTGGCTCGATGCATTTAACAACGTCACACACACCTATGACCGCCTCCAGTGTGAAACGCCACCAGAAATGAATGGGTATCCACTCCTCAGCCCGGTGCCGGGCCACGGAAAAAGTGCCCTCTCCAAGCTTGTCTCCAAGTGTCATGAAGGTGCGATAGGGATCACCTCCCAGTTACCAGAACAAGATGGGTCAGGGATCGGTTTGGAAAACCCAGACCAAGGCCTTTACCACCAGCCACCCATAACATCTACTGCCGACCCGTCCTATAACCATCAGATCTTGATGAAAGTTCAAAGTGTCTCTCTTTACTCCGCTTCACTGCTGGTGCAAATCCCAAGACCATACAGCAAGATGTATGCGCTTTCCCAGTATAACCAGAGTAACGCTCAGGACATCAGGCCCCTTAAAAAACAAAAGGAGATAATCCCCGTAGAGCAACTAAAACCACACACAAACTACACTTATTGTGTGGCTTCTATGAGCAAATCTCAGCGCTACAACCACACCTGTGTGTCCTTTACCACGCGGGCTATTGGACCAGAGGACCTGCGGACCAACCCTTCCACAACCACTCACTACATCATGACCATTTTGGGGTGTCTTTTTGGCATGGTCATTGTGCTTGGATTTGTTTATTACTGTCTCAGACGAAAACGTATTCAAGAGGAGAAGGAGAAGGCTATAAGCGTAAAGAAAACTATTCTTGAAATGAGGTACATTTTAATTTTTTTTAATTTAGACTACGCATTGTATTTGGTGTATTTTATTTTATTTTCTGTTGTTAAAAAGTGAGGAACATTAGTTGAACATGGTGAAAAAATATTTTTTTTCTAAAAAGGTTCAGTAAATCATGCATCAATATTTTTCTTTACCAATTTGAACTGTTTCCATCTGGTAATTGCTTTATCTATATTTAGATATGGCCCTGAAGCAGCAGCAGCAGTGACGAACGACCCAGGCCCCATGCAACGAATCCAGGACCAGGCTCACCACCAGCATCATCATTCAGGGGGGGCAGGAAGCAAACTGCCCCAGTCTGCCTCCTCCAGTACAGGCATGCTACATGGGTCAGCCAACACCAGTTCCTCTCGTTTGTCCAGTTTGCCACAGGTGGAAAAAATGGCCAGCGCCTTCACTGAAGCGTTGGGAGGCAAAAGCAACTACATGGATGTGAGGACAGCAGGAGTGGTCGGGGACGGGAGGGACGCTACCATGTCGGCTGTAGGAGTAGGGGTAGTAGGAGAGGTACTTGTGGATGTGCGAGGTGTAGCTGAGAATGGAACAGAGGCAGGGGAGGATTCCGATGACGATGATGGCCGTGGTTCAGCATCAGAGATCTCCACCATAGCCAAGGAGGTGGACAAAGTCAATCAGATTATCAACAACTGCATTGATGCCCTCAAACTGGATGCTGTGACCACGGTGGACAACTCAAGCTCTCTGAGCTGCTCCCAGCCTCCAGCTTCCATCACATCACTTCCCCGCAACCTCCTGCCTCTCTCTCCAGGACACCCCGGAGATCAGGTCATGGCATCCTCTCCAAAGCCGCATCCAAAATCTCACCCCCAGCCACATCCTCACCCTCAGCCCCATCTACATCCTCCACCACACCCACAGCAACACCTTCAGCAACAGCTACAGCAGCATCCTCAGCTGCACCAGCCACCACATCCACCTTCTATGGCTCCGGTGCCCTTGGTCATGCCTCTTTCTGAGCGCCCAGGTATCAGTGGGGGAGGGTTTCTCTCACCTCCTTACCGGGATCCACCCCCAGCTAATGCAGTGAGACCACTACAGAGGCAGCTGAGTGCAGACACAGCAGTAGTGAAAAACCGTTGTGGACCTCCCGGTGTGGGATCTGTTAAGAGCTCCAGGGTCTTCAGCATGGATATCCCTGACCAACGTGGAGACCCTCCCAAATACCCATCAGAAAAGAGTAGCCCTGGGGGTTGTGGTGGAGGAGGTGGAAGTGGAGGAGGTGGTGGAGTGGGAGGTTGTAACGGGAATGGGATGGGAAATATAAATGGAGGTGGAGTGAGTGTAAATGGAGGTAGCATGGGTTGTAATAACGGGAATGGAGGTGGAGTGATTGGACCTGGACAGCAGCAGCAGCAACATCACTTGGAGGTTCAGCCAGACTACCATAGTTCTGAGCATCGCCACTCCTTTCCTGCACTCTACTACGAGGGTGGCAATGAGTCACCCTCCCCTACCCAAAAGGCCTCATTCCTCAAGCCCCTGGGGCGCAGTAAGAGGGAGGCCACAGCTGCCTACTCCCAGCTGTCGCCTTCTCGCAACCACAACTACAACTCTGGATATTCCTCCAGCCCAGAGTATTCATCTGAGAGCACACTGCGGATCTGGGAGCGATTTCGCCCTTACAAAAAAAGTCCCAGAGAAGAAGCGTCCTATATAGCTGCAGGGCACGCCCTGCGGAAGAAGGTGCAGTTTGCAAAGGACGAAGACCTTCACGATATTTTGGACTACTGGAAAGGAGTTTCTGCCCAGCAAAAGTTGTAAGCTGAAAGGAAATTTGCTGAATTGTCAAGGGGACGCCAACAGCAGACTATTTAAGAGGACAGCCGTTATTGTTCATGTAGCAACAGAGATCACGATATTTCCTCTGTGGTGATCAGGGACATGGGTCATGCAGATCTGCCGCATCGAGAATGAGAAACTGTTTGCTCTGAGGGTTTTTCCACTGATCTAGACATATTGCTGTGATAAGTCATTGACATTTTGAGATCCAACTCCTGACGTTCGCTGTGTTCGGCACAATTCTATTTGATGATTCAAACCATTTACCTGACTGCCTCACGCAGGGCACTTTGGTCCTTACAGGCTTCCACGAACCCACTTTATACCCCTTATGAGCAAAGCAAAAGGTGTTGATAAGCAAGTGTCTACTACCTCATTTCCTGGCACACTGTAGCTCAGCTATCGCAGCAGAGGCATCGTCGTTCATGATTACAGTAACATTCATTACAGTAAGCTCTGTGCTCTGGTGTGTAATCCTGACAAACTACCGTTCACAAATCAAATCAATGTGAGAAACTGACAACACCTGCTCTCCTATAGACGCATCATTTAGGGGATAATTGGGAAGCGGGCCGACGAATCAGGCACACTTGTTTTGGGAACAGTTGGAATCTCCCACTTTGTGAAAGACACTAAGCGATACTTACAGGGCTAATTGTTCATCCTGGAAATCATACCAACAAAGGTCAGGGATGTCGGGTGTTGAGCATGCCTATCGATCTGAAACACACAACAAAGCCATTTTACTCCTGTACGTATGTGACAGCGCGACGACTGCCGAATTTCTCACTAATTCTCTTGAATAGTAAAGAGGCTGTTGAGGCCTAGTCCAATGTAATCATTGTATTGGTTTCACCGATGCTCGTCTTCATTGGTGATCTTTGCAAGTTTTTGCCCTGTTTTTTTAGCTTGACTGAAAACAACGGCATCTCATAAAAATGCCTGAGGTGATTTAGAGTCTTAGTTTCAATTGAAAAACCTTACCATAGTCTACATGGCTTTTCAATAAAAATATATGACATAAGTTGCTGTGGGAGGGGTGCAGGGGGGGCTTGCTACTGACCAAAGTGCCTTGGGCTGGTTTGATTCAACAAGTTTATTTGCGGTTACCATTTATTATATACTTTCTCCAAGGTGGTTCTGTCAACCAAGGCATTTAGTTGTTGTTTTACCTTTGCAATGTATAAATGCAGAAATATACTGCTAATTTATAATTAGAAAACTGCTGAGTCATACAGAAAAGAGCTTAACATGCAGCGTTGGTCTATTTTAAAACATAAATACTCACTGCTCCCCCCTCGGAACATATAATCGATGCATTTTAATTTTCTGTGCCTTTGTGTATTTTACTGCCCACTCCTACTATCTTTACCACTAGCATTCTGACCTTTCTCTCCTTTGCTGATGATATGGCTCAATTGACAGGACATAAATTATTTTTAAAACATTTAATTAATTCTCTTTTTCTTTTCCCCAGCCTGCAACCTCTGTCCAACTTAATGGGGTAAATTAACGAGTAATTTGTGGAGGTTGATGTTGTGTCATCATCTGAGGTCAAAAGAGCGTGCTGAAATGATTAACTCTGCCAGACTGGGAGACTGATTGAAATTAATGATGGCCGCCTTTCTGTGTTATTTTCCTTCCTGCTCCTGCTTTTTTCATCCACATGTTTTAAGGCGTCCCTTTTTTTTCTGTTTCTCGTACGTTTTTCAGACAAAAAGGGATCCTAAATTGGGGACCAAACAGATCCGATACCACGACTGTCAAAGAACTTGTCGATCTCTCATTTGGAAGTTCCTCTGCCCAAACCAAATTCCCCAAAGTTTAACAAAAAGCCTAAATTGGAATTGTAGTTTTCTAATAGTTTAATTCAAAGTTTGCTTAAAATATATTTATCAACTCGAACAAACACATGACTTCCGTCAAATGAACAAAGGTCATTCCTCTTCTTCATTTTACTTTGTAAAATACATCCATCCAGTACATATCAACAGTGGTTATTGAGCTGAGGTAAAAAAAAAAATCAATAGCATTTATTGCTACCTCTTTAAGCTAGTGAATGTGTTTTTCATTTTGTTTCATATCGACTCATGGCTTTCCCTCTGTAGTACTGTATGCCCTTATTCTGCCATGAGATCAGCTGTAACTCATCGTGGGAATGTCTGACTAAAGTCAACACAGCTCAAACCCTCAGGGCACTGAACCAGAGAGGCTACGTCACGACAAGCTTTTCCATCTAAGCCTTTTGGTCAATTTCCACAAGCAGCTCCTGACTGAATTTGGTCCGAGGAATTACCAGTCAATTAGTTTCAGATTAGTACCACAGGCTGTGCTGTGTTAGGAACTTTAAAAAAATTAATGACTTCATTTTAAAGAACAGGGAACTGAGCTGACATTACCTGCACACGCCTCCAGGGTTCAAATGTAAGGAGAAATATTAGCTTAGTTGTTAAAAAAAATAATTTTGTGTAATTATTAAATTTGCAATATATGCTATATGACAGTTAATCACCTTCTATCTACAACTATCCACCATGTTCCTCCATTTTTAGAGACGGAGCACATCTCTCTGGGCTCAGTCTGGCCAATAAGCAACAATGTTAAAGAAAAACTACAAACATTAAGACAACGGTTCATCGTCTACAGCTGCAGCTCCTGTGAGACTTTCTAAGCAGGGATTGATCAATGTGACCAAATAATGATACCATTTGATGCGTTGAATGTTTTTCCAAAGTACAGATACAGACTCTCAATATTGGTTCTGTTCAAACATGTTCAACACTTGGATGGAAAAGCTCTGGTGAATAAGCAACAACGTTTTTAATAATTCACGAACATGAAGGTTAGTTTTTTTATCCCTAGGAGGAACTCATAAGGATCTTTTTTCCCACTCTTCTAGTCTATTTCTCAGATGGCCTCTGGGACCCATTGCTATTTAGGTTTGGTTTCTCTTTGCAGTTCTGTGGGCTTCAGGCTTATTGAAAAACACAAATCAATAGTGATGGAAAATAATGGAGGAGCCACTTCAATTTCCTCCCTGAAGGTCTGGCAGAGAAACCATATTCTTGCAATGGCTCCATAGAAGCAGCAGCCAGGTCTCTTTGCTAATATTTAATTAAAGGTTTTAAATTCTATACAGGCCTGTGTTGAGTTCTGATGGTGTGAAGATGAAACTGTTGGAAGAGTAAACACAGGACTTTTTACAGGATCTCTATAAGTTATGCTGTGAATAACTTCTTTAGGAATTTATATTTATACGGCAAGTGGGGAATCGTGGGGTGAGAAGTAAAACAAAAAACCCCTCATTAATCTCCACCTTCTCTGTAATGTGATGTAAAGAACTGGACAAAAACCCTCATTAATCTCCACCTTCTCTGTAATACTTTCACTCTGCCAAACAGGATAATATATATTTCTGTTGTAAACATGTAAAGTAGGAGAGGTTTTTGTTTTAACAACCATATACATTTATAAACATGCAGTTTGGTGCAATTTGAAGAAATGTATTTTTGTGCGAGTACGACGGTCCTGCTTTCTAAATCTGGGCTGAACAGGAACACAAAGAATCCACGGCTTCTCTCCTCTTCCCTGTACGTCCCATTATGCATGTTGTTTCTTTTTTGATGCAGAGCCAAAAGTCCAAGATGTTTCCTCGTATCGTCACAAAGGTCGATTTTTTATCTCAGGGGTATAGAGAACGCTCTCTTTGAGAAGACATATTACCACAACCAATCACATAAAGCAGACTGCCCTCCACCTCCCATTGGTTTTTCCTTCTTTTATTTCCTGACCTGTAAACATATTCATGATGCATTTGTTGGACGCAGGTCTGAACAGGTTTTTAATGTAAACCGCACAGAGCTTCTTACACTTTTAAAGTATTTCTTTGGGAGTATTAAAAGTATATGTCAGATTCAAATGCATATGTATGAACATATATATATATATATATATATATAATATAGGGTTATCACTGCATATGTTGTTGGTTTTTTTTAGTGGGTGAAAAAGTGGAGAACACCATATGCAGTGTTCAGAGGGTTGCCCTTAGTAAAGGAGGTTGCTGGTGAAACTCCTTGGCTTCATGGCTCTGCATTAGGAAGGGTCTGCTACAGTATTTACATTCAACACCGGCTAGCTACACGGCTAACTCCACCACCTCGAATCAAAACACTCTGCTGACCTTGACCCCTGGCTAGTTTCTCGTGAGGCTCCACAGAGGAGGCAGGACTGTGGATTAACGACAAACGGTTTCTGTCTGTTTTTGTCCGTGGGTTGACGCGATCGTTGGATCATTTTGACTCTTTGTCAACCAAACGAGGAAGACTGACTGAGGAAGTTCCCTCATGGACGCCACACAACAAAAGTGGAGGATTATCTACTACCGGTGGCCAACTGTGACACACACACACACAGAGACACACACAGACACACACACACACACACACTGCTGATCTGCCTACACACATTAATGTAGAGAATCAATGAGTATAATGTACGTGTTTGATTAGATTAGAGTTACACTGTATGGACTTGAAATGTAAGACTACACTACATATTTTTCCAAACAGTACAAAACACACACACACACACCTGCCTACACACAAACACGGACTGAATATTTCTATTCTTGTTTACATATGGTCTTTAAAAAGTGCCCAAACGGCGAGGATTAAACGCGAGTGAGTCGGAACCAAACATCTGTAGAACTGAAAACTAACAACGATGTATTTCTTTTATATCTGTGTGTTGACCTGATACCTGTATCATTTATGCTCATTTTGTCACATTCATCATGGCTTCTTCTGATCTGTCAGACTTCCGAGGTAAAGGCAGTCGTGGGGATGGTTTCTGGATCAAACCTGACGTCAGTGGAGATACTTTTAGTATCTTCACGAGGAAAATGATTTATTTTGGAAAGTGTCCACTTAAGATTGGTCCTCGGGGGCAGGGCAGTCTAACAACCTTTGCATTCTACACGTGTCTAATTTGGAATTGTAAGGTACAAACACAAACACTGTAATCTCCAGATGAGGCCACTTTAACAACGGTCATAAACGATGGATTTAGTTAGAAGTTTCTGCTGCCGTCAGTTCAGCGCTCACACGGACAGATATCTGTAGAGCGGTTTTTGAAGAGATGATTATACAACTGTCAAACTGAAGCTGAAATTTTTCTACAGTCTTTTATGAACAGAGAGAGAAATGTGGGTCTGGATTTAGCATCGCACATTTACACAAATGTTTGACCTCCGTTTACTGTTTATGTGCTTCTATCGCAGCTCGTTGTGTGCGGCGCCGCGGCTCTGCTCGAGTGCATCTCCAACATGAGACCGGTTTCGTTCGCCGTCTTATGAGCATCCATGTGTGTGATTGAAGGATGCTGCAGTGAAGCTGCGTTCTGCTGAGAGAGAGCGAGAGCGAGAGAGAGAGAGCGAGCGAGCGACGGCTGAGGCTGCGTATATGAAGCTTTCTTTAATTAATCTGCCGCTCAGTCGTCAGGGTTCTACAATGAGGACGCACTTGTTCATTCACTTCCTGTCACTCATACACACACACACACACACACACACACACACCCTCGTTCATGCTCTGTCAAACAAAGGATGATTATAATTCCGGTTTCCCACATTTCATGAACACTTTACACACAAAATGCAAAACAATCAGCCCGACACTTGGACGTCATGTCACACAGAGATTCAGACTTTGGT